GGAATCAACATTACATATGAGAGTATAACTATATGCCTTAGCAGACAAGTGACAGCTTTGTCGCCAAGTTCCAGGGTTCGAAATATAACCACACAGGGAGAGATGTAATATACGTGCGTAATTGTTTTGTCAACGTTGTGAAAAACCGAAGTTATAATGATTGTTTTTATAGGGAAAATTAAAAATATACACGTACTCACCTTGGCATATATTCTCTGCTTTTGGTACCGCCAAAAAATATCTTTTACCTTTGCGTTTGTTAAAAAAAAAAGGAGAAAAATATATGCAAAATCTACATTTTTTAAACTTTTTAGCAGGCCAGTTGCCACGGTAACTGATGAATTGATACGTGCTAGCCCGTATCACGGATGCCACATTCGTTTTGCCAGGCGTTTCCAGTCCATTCCTTTGATTGTCTATGTTGTAACAGACCTGTTGACAGGCCGTTGCAGGTCTGTCAGAACAGACAGGTACAAGGCGAGCGAACGCATCCAGATATCGGCTTGTTGACAACAGGATTTAACAGATCTGTTGCAGATCTGTTCCGACTTGCGCGTTTCTGGCTGTGTAGTGAATTAAATTAATTGTCTATCTTCTAAAAAGTAGTAACAAGCGCGACTCCTTTTTGTTGATGGATGTTGAACTCACGGTGTTGAACTCATTGAAGACAACAATGGACATTTAGAGTTAGTAGGGGATTGCTGAACACGTGCGAGAAAACAGGGGGGAGTGAACAATGTTGTGACTGGGACTTGGGTTTTTAAAACAGCGAGTTGGGAGTATAGTTTATTGCTATTAAATTATAAAATACATTTCGTGTTCCGTACTTATTTGGAGGCACAATTTTGGAATACGTGGCACCTACCGACGAAGATATATTTGTGATATTTTGGGATTTATTTCGACGCTAGCGAGCAATTTATTATGGCGAACGAGGAAGCGAAACTCGATACAAAACTCACTCAGTTGAGATTGACGGCGCAAAGAACCGGGAAAATACTTGATGCTGGAAAACGAGAAACGATCGAACGGCATTTAAAGGCGCTCCAAACAACAATAAGCGAAACAGATCAGTGCAAACGTACGGTTGAGGCTGAAAAATCGGTAAGAAAGAAGACCTAGCACTAAGAAATTAGCGACTTAAATTCGAAGTGAAATTGGGAGAAACAAAGCTTCAAATGCAAGCTAAAATTCAGGATGCAAACCGGGGGGGGGGGGGCATAACACCTCGAAAATTGAGACGGCATAAAAGGTATGTCAGTGAGATTACCTAAAATTAATATTGTGCAATTTGATGGGTCATACATGGATTGGCCAAGATTTTGGGGCCAATTCACCGGGACGGGATAAGTCAAATATAGCCGCTATCAACAAATTTACATATCTGTGTGGGTTTCTGGGACCAAAAGTTAAACGCCGTGTAGAGTCATTGCCATTTACTGCGGAGGGATACAACCGGGCAAAGTCAATTTTGCAAGATCAATATGGCAAAACTCCGGAGATTGTTAAAGCCTATATTAAAGAGATCATGGATTTGCCACACATTTCTGGAGCCAACCCAAAGAAAATAGCAGAATTCAGTGAGAAATTGAATTATGGTGTTCAAGCCCTTGAGACACTAAATAAACTGAAGGATGTTCAAGGAAACGTTTCCATGACATTGGATAAGCTTCCAGCTATACGGGGGTGACTTGGGATGACCCAGACTGGGAGAGCTGGGATTTTGCAAAACTTGCTGAAGCGATCAGACAGTGGACCAAGCGAAATCCTGTTTATGAAAAGGAGTCGGATGCATCAGGGAAATTTGGGAAGCCTGGTAAAGTCTATCAAACAAAAGCCACAAGGGTATGTGTCTACTGCGAAGGCGAGCACAAGGTGGGGGAATGTGAAGTGGTTACTAGTGTCAACGAGCGGAGAGGAATTTTAGCAAAAAAGAAACTTTGCTTTAATTGTGCAGCAGGGCAACATCGGGCAAATGCTTGTTTTAGTAAATCAACATGTCGAAAATGCAACAAACGCCACCATACAAGTATATGTGATGCCAAAGATCGAGATGACAAAGCCACTGCTGAACGAAAAGTGTTAACTGCAAGTGGAAGCACAGCTGAAGGAATTTTCCCTGTTGTGGTAGTCAAGGTGAATGGAATAACATGTCGAGCACTGATAGACTCTGGCGCTGGTAGCTCATACATATCTGGCAAACTTGCTTCCATGCTTAATGTGAAACCGATAGAGTCATGAACCTCAAAAATTGACATGCTTTTGACATCTAGAACCACCAGGCTGGATATATATGAAGCGAAAGTCGAGTCAGTGGACGGTGATTATGCAATGGATGTAAATTTGATCAAAGTCGAGAAGGGAGAGCTACTCACTATTGACAATCCTCATAAGTTACAAAATGAATTTGATCACCTTAAACAAGCAAAGTTCATTGATGTCGACCAGAAATCTCAATTACCTGTTCATGTTGTGCTGGGAAGTGGTGAGTACGCGCGGATAAAAACTCGAACAAATCCTCTAGTGGGAACCGAAGTTCAACCAATTACTGAGAAGACAAAACTTGGATGGTTCGCCATGAGCCCTGGTGTAGAGCTGAACCACAACACAATACTTCTTACTCAAACATCCCAGAAAGATTATGAAGACCTGTGCCGCCTTGATGTGTTGGGACTGGCAGATACAGCTGAGCATGATCAATCTATGGTCTACAGTGAGTTCAAAGAACAATTGACTAGATCTCCATCGGGCTGGTATGAGACGGGCCTTCCTTGGTGCGGAAACCACCCACCACTACCGTCAAATGAAATGGGAAGCATACGCCGATTGCAATCTTTGGAACGTCGCCTGCAACGAAAGGACTTAATCGAAGACTACAACACAGTAATTGAGCAGCAGAAACAACAAGGAATTGTGGAACCAGCCAATAACGAAGCCACATGAAAAGTATTCTACCTATCCCACAAGGAGTTGTACGAGAGTCGGCACAGTCAACAAAGCTGCGAGTTGTATATGATGCTTCTGCGAAAGCCTCTCCTGTAAGCCCATCCTTAAACGAATGTCTTTACGCGGGTCCCCCTCTTCAGAACAAACTTTGGGAGATACCAGTTAGAGCCCGAAGTTTCCCAGTAGCAATCACAGGTGACATGGAGAAAGCACTTCTCCAGATCCGTGTAAAAGAGAGTGAAAGAGATGCGCTAAGATTTCATTGGCGAGAAAACCCACTAGCTGATGTGGAGGTATTGCGGTTCACCAGAGTATTGTTTGGTTTGGTATCATCGCCATTCCTGCTTGGCGGAGTTTTGGAAGCACACTTAGATTACTGGAGCAAAGCTCCAGAAGCAGTGGACACGCTGAAGAAAAGTCTGTATGTCGATGACATTATTTCGGGGGGTAACACTGTTGGTGAAGCAAAACAGTGCAAGTCTGAAGCTACTGATATACTGGGTGATGCAACCTTTTCACTTCATAAATGGGCATCCAATGCGAACGAACTGGACGGAGAAAGTGACAACAACGAAGATCGCGGGGAACAAACAGCAGCAAAACAACAGCTCGGCGTGAAGCCAACAGAAACGAAGATCCTGGGTGTGAAATGGGAAAAAGAGAACGATACACTAAGTGTGCAACTGGGATCGAACAGCGAAAGTCCTACAAAGCGAAGCATCCTTAGCCGGTTAGCCAAGATTTACGACCCAATAGGAATTGCCTCACCTCTGTTGTTGCAAGGAAAACAAGTCTACCGAGAAGTATGTGACCACAAGCTAGCATGGGATGTAGAATTGAAAGGAATGATTAAGAAACGGTGGGGAAAATGGGAGGATAACCTGCCCAGCAAAGTGACTGTGCCAAGACCAATTGCACCTTTCCAAGAGCCGGTGGAGAAATTGGAGATTCATGGATTCGGAGATGTCAGTGGCGAGGGGCTGTGTGCAGCGGTGTACACAGTTGCAAGACAACCATCTGGTGTTACTCGAGAGTTACTAGTTGCGAAAGCAAGACTTGCGAAGAAAGGACTGACCATACCAAGGTTAGAACTTGTTGCATGCCACATGGTAACCAATTTGGTCAACAATACAAGCAGAGCTCTTTGTCATATTCCACACGAGAAGCACTGCTGGTCAGATAGCACAGTAGAGTTATGGTGGGTCACAGGAGAAGGCCAGTATAAGCAGTTCGTGGCAAATCGAGTAGCAAAAATTCGAGATGCTGAAGGAATCGAGTGGCATCATGAACCGACAACAGAGAACCCAGCTGACCTCGGAAGCAGGGGTGGTCAACTTACAAAGCTCTGGTTAAAGGGTCCTACTTGGCTGCCAGATCGTAGTCATTGGCCACCGAACCTCGTTGTCAAACCATCTGCCGATTCTCAGAGTGAATCCAAAGCAACGCGAGCGATTCTCAATGTAGGTGTGGAACGAGTGGAGTCAGCGATCCTGGGAGATATTCTGAGGAAGCATTCATTGACGAAAACCCTAAGAATTGGTGCATGGATAAAGAGATTCCTCGACAACAGTCGCGTGAACGTAGACAGCAGGCAACATGGTCCATTAACAACCGATGAGATTGACCAACAACGTCTATGGTGGATCAAACAAGTACAAGCAGATGCGAAAGAAGATTCAAAATGTCAAAATGATTCAGTTCAGTTAAACCTACAAGCCGATGCGAACGAGATTCTGAAGTGCAAAGGACGAGTACAAGGACAACTTCCTATTTACCTGCCCGACAGTTCGTTGTTTGCCGTGAAACTTGTGGAAGAAGCTCATATAAAGACGCTCCATGGGGGAGTTATTTTGACGATGGCGAAGATTCGTGAGAACTACTGGATACCTCGCCTCCGTCGCCTAGTAAAAAAGTCGCGAAAGGGATGCGCACGATGCAAGAAGTTTATGACCAAACCTTATCAAGCTCCAACACCTGGACCATTACCAACAACGCGAACGGAAGGGACTACTCCTTATAAAGTTATCGGAGTCGATTTCGCCGGCCCAATCACATATAGAGTTAAGAAAATCCAAGAAGGGAAAGCATACTTAGTCCTATTTACATGTAGTTTGACTCGGGGAGTTTACCTAGAAGTTCTGAAGAGTCTTGAAACAACCCCTTTCCTTCGAAGTCTCAAAAGACTAATCGCCAGACGAGGTCGACCTTCTCTTATCTACTCGGACAACGCGAAGACGTTCCAAGCGGCTGCCTCATGGTTAAACAAGGTGATGAAAGATGAGAAATTCCACAGTGAACTGAGCAAGTATGAGATCAAGTGGAGATTCAATTTGTCACGTGCGCCCTGGTGGGGCGGACAATTTGAACGATTAATCGGAATTTTCAAATGTGCTTTTTACAAGGTTATCGGCAAAGGACTTTTGACATTTGAAGAGCTGTCGGAAGTTGTTCTAGATGTAGAAATCTGTATGAATAACCGGCCACTAAGCTACTTAGAGGATGATATTGAATTTCCTATTCTTACACCAAATTCCTTTGTGCTACAACAGTCGAATGTTGTGCCACAGCTAGAATGTTATCATATTGAGGACGGTGATCTACGAAAGAGGGCAAGGTACTTGCAAAGCGTAAAGAACCATTTATGGAGACGATGGCAAAGAGAGTACCTGACGAGTTTACGGCAGCGTCATCAGACCAACAGCAAGTCAACTACAGTTGGTCCCAATGAAGGAAATATTGTGTTGATCAAAGGCGACGAGAAGAACAGAAACAAGTGGAAAATGGGGAAAGTTACGAAGTTAATTCGTGGGAAAGATAAAGTTGTCAGGGGAGTTAAACTTCAATGCGCTAAATCGACTATAGAAAGACCGATTCAACTGATTTATCCCTTGGAACTGGAATGCGACGTGGGGAAATGCGAGACGAAATTGAATACCAATGCAAAAGAATTCAAGCCAAGACGACAAGCAGCGGTCAAAGCAGAAGCAAGGAATAAGGAACTGTTTGAACGGGATGAAAAGGACGAATGACAATTAAACATTGAGACATCGGGGTTTACTAGTATAACATGCGACTCCTTATGAGTCACATGGGGGGAGGGTGTTGGAAATTGACGTTATTTTGCTTTATACATTAGTGTATTTTGAAGGACAACAATGGACATTTAGAGTTAGTAGGGGATTGCTGAACACGTGCGAGAAAACAGGGGGGAGTGAACAATGTTGGGACTGTGACTTGGGATTTTAAAAGAGCGAGTTGGGAGTATAGTTTATTGCTATTAAATTATAAAATACATTTCGTGTTCCGTACTTATTTGGAGGCACAATTTCGGAATAATGGTTTAAAAAGCCGCATTCTTTACATTTCTTTTGACAATTGCCTGCGAAAATAGTATTTCATTGCAGGTTATTTTCACAATGATGCACACAACCTCGTGGAAGCAAGATGACGGATGACCTGGGTACGAGGTTGTGCAATTCATAGGCTGTGTTAGGGATAGCCATGTTTGTTTTGACAGCGACAAACATAAGGGACAAAAAGTGATATCAGTGACAAAAAGATATCAGTGACCAAAAAACTATATCAGTGACAAAAATTGTTATCAGTGACAATATTGTTTTTATGTCACCCTGTTATCACCTTGATAAAGCCAGTGAATTATGTGATAAATATATTTCAAACACTCATTAATAATTCATAAGCTCATTAGCAAATCATGTGAAGACAGTGGTGTAAGTGATGTAACTTTACTATTTTGACCACTTGCCCTCAGGGCAAGTTGGACTTGAATAAAATCAATTTGCCATCAGACAATCGCCACTGGGGTACCTAGGTAGGGTGTATAAATTAAGGGGACAACATGTCGACCTGTTCTCCCACTGTTGTATATGGCTATGTTATACTGCCTCAGATCTAGCTTTGGCCCACAAAAAAATTTGAATGCACTACCGTATATAAACAATTTATCCAACAATGAAAACATAAACTTAAAGATGCCCAGCTTTTTGTGGCAAGGCAATCAGGCAAGCAAGATAAAACGTTTACTTGCCCGTCACAGGGCTGCAAATTACTGTCGGACATCGGACAATGTCTGACTAAATTTGGCAAATGTCCGAGCAAAAGTAATTTTGATCGGTCCGATCACAAAAAATAAATTGTCACATACGGTACATTTTTTTGCTGTGACAAAATCCAATTGCAAATTCACTCAATTTGCATTTGGCAATAAAATTTACAAGGCATTCTAGCATTTCACTTACAGTTACATTGTGCCGGAATGGCTATACATACTTGTCATGTGACTTATATATATCTTGTGATGTATATATGTCCAACCAAATTTAGTGGTGTTGGTTTTTGTCCAACGAAATTCAAGTTCTGCCCGACCAAAATTAAAAGTGATCGGACAAATGCCGTGTCAAGTCAAATATTTATTTGCAGCTCTGCCGTCATGATAGTCACTTTCCCTGGGCCAGTGTTAAGTTACACCTCTGGAAGAGACTTTATACCTGATAAAACTCATCTTCAGTTTGCTTTATAAAGTGCAACCTAATTAGTATTCTTTATATAAAGAATACTAATGAAGTCTACGGCATCTATTGTAGTCATGTTTGAAGCTATCAAAAATACTCTCACATTTTCAATAGCTCATTAGTGCAGCTTGGTACATCTGGATATCTAGTGCAACCAAAATGTATACACATGACGAACTCAATGACCAAAAAGTACATGTTAGAGTTATAAACCGAGAAGAAGGTTTATAACTGATATATCAGTTATAAACCGACTTTCGAGGTTTATAACTAACTTATATCTCATTTGTGGAGGTTTTCTAACATAGTTTGTCATTTTCAAAAATTTATGATGAAAAATTCTCGCGTTTTGACAAAAAGTTTGATGTAATTATTTATTCAAGGCATATTACCTAGTTATAAACCTCGGACGATCAACGAAAACCGACACAAATGAGATATAAGTGCATATATAACCCAGTCATGCTTACTTAGGTTATTGGACATTGTTCTCCATACTGTCACAGAAAGCTACTCAAACCTTCATCATTAACTCTGCATGCTTAACTCAATCAGCCTGTGTGTGACAGCATGTGTGAAATCATTGCCATCATGACATTAATTAAAGTGCAATACTCTCCCCTTGGCATGTAAAATACCAATAACCAAATTCTCAGTATCAGAATTATCAATATATCGCCCACCACTAATTACCACACTATTTAGTATCTAAAACACAAGAAGGACTGTTTTATCATATTTAAAATGCAAGGCGCAGCCAAGCGTTTTAGATATGATAAAACATGAGATTGAGTGTTTTGAATAGGTTAAAATATGACTACAAAAGAATACTAATAGGCAATTCCAGCTTTTAGTTTATGTGTGCAGGGGACGATGGGAAGTAAGGTATCACATTGCTGATTATCCTGAAAAAATAGAAATGGTGGCCGTGTAAACACGTAGTGATAGCTTTATACTTGTAAATATTGAAATATTTTGGTTGTTTTGGTAGTTTTTATTGAAATTTTTCAGAATAATCGGCACTATGATACCTTACTTCCCATCATCCCCTGCAGGCATAAACTAAAAGCTGGAATTGCCTATTAGGTTGAACAATTTATATACAATCATACTAATTAGGATGAACAATTATATAAAGAATACTAATGAAGATGAGTTTTATCAGATATAAAGTCACTCCACATGGCATATTATAGCTGACATGATTTTCCACATGGTTTATTAATTTTTAATGAGCATTTTAAGGTTGTATAAAAGGCTTTGTGTTACAGATTAATTATGTGTCACTTTTAATAGTTAGCCTAAAGGATAATTTTCAAGAAATATAAAAATCGACTATATCCCAAAATCAAGCTCAGATTATTTTAATTTGTCATGTAATTCTTGCTCTTTCAGCTCATATTACACACCATTTCAATTGCGCTTCATTTTATATTTTCAAAATTGTTGGCTACATGGTATTTGGGCAATAAATATACAACAAAATATTTCTATATTTTACTAATAGACTGATAGTAATAGTACGAGACTGTCTAAAACATCAGCAGTTCGCTACAAAACTTCGATCGATTAAATTTCTTCGTGTGATCGTTTATCCAAAATGTAGTTATCGCTCTCATAGAAAAGTACGGCGTATGTTTAAATACTATTTAATCGACAAATCAGAACAGGGTATCTGGGTATGTATACTTGAATTATGAATATTTATAACACGATGCCTATTTTACATAATGATATCGTGTGCAGAGATTTAATAACACTGAATTATACAAAGTACTAAAAGTATAATTAAAACACTGACCTTTGTTTAGTGTTTTTAGTTCACTGGATTCGTTGCTTTGGACGCTGTCTTCGTCAGCTGAGTCGATAGCTGTTCCAGACATTTTTATTGTGCAATTTATGCGCTCGTTTCCCGCGTTTAATTCAAGGGCGCTATAAAACACGTTTTATAGTGCCCTGTGTTTTCACATGGTTCCACCCCTGCAAAATAAGAACGCGTGTATGATACAATGCATCATACGTGCGTGCGTATTGTCATATATCATCATACGAAACGAGAGACCATGTTGAAATTTTACTATTTTGCAACAGCTGAACAGGGTGGACTTCCGTCTACGCATGCGCGAGAAACGTAAGCGTGGAGTGCATGTGAGCGCAGGTTAATCGTGTGACTGAATTATAAAAACAAACATCAAATTTGCAAAAACTACTCGTGTTATGAAGTCGTTTTCTTGTTTCTTTAGTGTTTCTACGCTCACAATTTTAGGCATTTCCAACTTAGAAGTGTTTGCTTTGGAATAAGAATGTGAAAGTAGAAATAAAAACTTTGTTGCAGCAGTTTAATTTCGCAGTGCAAACATACCTGTTTTTAATATGTATATCCTTTTCGAAGTGAGATATACAAGTGCAAATTGACCTTCTTTAAATTCGTACTTGCCCTATTTTTCACTCCATAAAAACTACTTTTATCGATGGAGAAACTATTTGACTCTAAAAATAAGCTTGAATTTTTGTGGTGATATAGGCTCAGTTCTTTGCAAACAGTGATTTAGTA